GATGGGGAACCTGGGCAGGGTGTCCCCGCCTGCCTCTGTGTTAGCCTGAGTGGAGCCCGCAGGGCGCTGAGCCCAGCCAGGAAGGGCGCGTGTGACCAGCATGGACTTGAACCTGCCGACATGGCCAGAGTGGGCACCCCTGGGAGGGGAACAAGATGGGTGAGGGAGGTTCCCCAAAGCCCACTCAGCGCCCTGGACAACGGGAATGAGTACTGCAAACGGGACGGGGCACCGCCTCAGGGGGCAAGGAGCACGCACTCAGCATCCCAAGGCGGCAGTCCTGACTGTTCCCCGGGACTGTGCAGCCCCAGAGGCAGGCCCGAGATCGGGGTGCACTGGGAATGGGGTACAGCACACACCCCAGCTGTGGACAACCCCACCCAGGGGGCTACAGACCCAAGGAAGCCTAGCACTCTCCAGGGCCAGGCCGCTGGGTGGGGGTCCCTGGGGGGCCAGGTGGCTGGGCAGTGGAGCTGTGCCGTGTGCACACAGGCCCGCCCTGGCTGAGGCCGCCCTTCCTCCACTCCTGCCCTGCTGGGACCCAGAGAAGGACCCTAAGTAGGCAGATGGGGCACAGGCTGGGCCAGAGGCCTGGTGGGCTGAGGGCTGGAAACTGGGGGGAAGAGGAGGCCTGGCTGAAGGCCACCAAGGGGCCTGGGAATGTGAGCAGGGGGGATGAGCCTCGGGCAGGTGACCACTGGGCAGCCCAACCAAGCAGGACCCATCTCGAGGGTTCACCTTCTCTGAGGAGGTCCGCAGGAGTCTGGTGAACCCAGGAAGAGGACACACAGCCCAGCCCCATGGCCATCCCCACCCTGGCCTCCGCCCCCTCGTCCCCAACATCTGTGCCCTCCCCTCCCACCCTCTGCTCCATCCCTGCCCTTTCCTCCTCCCTCCTCATCTCAGGCAGGTGGTCCTGGCCTTCCAGAACCTCCTGCCCCAGAATGGGGCCCGGGGCCAAGGGCAAGGCGTCAGGGGAAGGACAGGGCTGCGGATTCCTGAGGGTTAAACATGCAAGAGTACACTTTGATCAAGACAAACGAGGCATTATGCGAAATGCTGAAACAAGATAAATGATGGCCCTGGGTGAGTGGGATCAATAGACTGATGTTTCATCAGGTAGAAATGACAGCCCCGCCGATCGCAATTCGTTTTTAATACCACAGACCAATCGGGGACGAGGGGGCTTTAATTGCTGGCCCAGGCCAGGTTGCAGGGCTGGCGAGGCAGCGAGGCTCAGACCAGGCCAGATGTGGGGGAGCTGGCTCCAGCACCCAGCCAGCCAGAGAAGGCCACTCCCGGGCCTCCGGGTGCGGGCTGCAAAGGTCAGAGCAGTGGTGCTCCAGGAGAACCCCTCTCAGGCTCCCTGTCCCAACCTGCCAAGCCCCCTCCGTTCCATGAGGGTCAGAGACCTGGCCTCGGGCTTTCTGTGCCCTTCCCCGGCACCTGCACCCTGTGTACCCCACCAAAGGCCACCTGCTCCAACCTGCCTGGGACAGTGACAAGAGGCCAGCCTGAGTGGACAAGCTCCAGGTAGACGGTCAGGCTGTGGGTCATTCAAGGTCAAGTCCCCTACTCAGTAACACCCCCTCTTGACTGCACCAGGGAAACCAAGAGGCCCCAATAATGCCATCCTTCGCCTGCCTGGACTCCAGGGAAGAGGTGGGCAGGGCACGCAGCTGACTTGGCATCTATCTGGCTTCCAGACTAGGCCCCGGTACCACCTAACGCTTCCCTGATGACCCTGGCCTCAGTGTCCTCACTTGTGAACTGGAGACCTCGACTCTCCATTGCTCACCGACCCTAAGACCAGGCAGCCTAAGGGACTTCCGAACCAATATGGGCAGGACCCACCCACTCCACTTGAGGCCAGGGCAGGGAGAGACGGCCCCCCTGGTGCCTCCTCCTCCACTCTCCTCGGCCTCCAGGCCGCGGGGATACAGCAAGGCCTGGGCCTCGTTGGGAGAGCCAGCCCCCACCCTGCTGTTAGGTCAGGGTCCTGGCTTGCTGCACAGCTCCGCAGGGACCAGGGAACTGTGGATTCCCCAGGCCGTGGCTCGGGGACGGAGGGCTTCACTGAGTGCCTGCTCCTGGGGTACATGGGGCGTGCATGCAACCAGCCCTGTTGAGAGACCCCTGGGTGTCAGCAGTGCAACCTGCCACGCTCACGTGAAGAAGCTGGAGACCAGCTCCAGCCTGCTGCAAACACCCTGGCCTTGGCCAGCCAGCCCAACAGACCCGCCACACCCCTGTCCCCTCAGAGCAGGGCACATGTTCTCAACCCCAGCCATGCGATCCCTCACCACATGGACACTGCTTGTTTCTCAGCCATCCATCCCTCTGTCCTCCCCAGGCTGATGCAGAGGCCTCCCAGACCCACCCTGCCCCACGGTTGGAGCCACCCTCCCCAGAGCCGTGGGATGGTCTGAAGGCCCCCTCACAGTACTTCGCTGAGAGGGGAAGTCAAAACCACCCTCGCTACGCGGGAGCCTCTAACAGGTTTATGATCGTGCCCCTTGTCAGGAATCTGTTCTGGTTTATAAGAAACAGGCTTGGGATGCAGCTCCCGGGGGTGCTGGCCTACCCTGAGAGGCCCTAAGTTCAATCCCAGCGCTGCAAACAAAACAACAGAGACAAGCTCTGGCCAGCAGGGCGGTGACACCGCTGCACGGCTGCACCGCAGGTGCCAGGCCTCAGTGCTCCCTCCACGGCCCCACAATGGCTCCCTTTTTCTGGAGCCTGCAGGGATGGTCTGGGCAAGCCAAGAGGGAAAGGCCACGTAGAGGGTGGGAGGAGGGTGAGAAGGGGGCACATGCCCACAGACAAGAGCAGGCCAGCCGCACAGTGCCCAGGCAGCCTGGGCCACTGGAGGGCGAGTGGCAAATCTGGAGGACCAGCAGGAAAACCGCTGCTCCTCCAGCCGAGCAGGGCTACAAAGTGTCAAAGCCCTCAAAAGGCACCCAAGGCCACTGCTCCTGAGTCCCTCATGCTGCGGGGAAAGGCTACTCTATGCTGGACCGACCAGCTGGGGGACCACTCTGCACCCGCATGGCTCCGGCTCCTCGTGAACCGCCAGGCTGCTCCGGTCGCATGAGCCATCAGGCCCATCCCGGTATCTCCGCCCCTGCACCACAGTGATTGGCTTTGGGTGATCACATGACCCAGGGTGAGCCAATGAGAGTCTGTCCCTGGGATCCCACGGGCTAACCCCGCTTTTTGGAGGGAGCCTGGTGAGCACAGTTGCAAACCTGGGTGTTTAGTAGCTGTTTCCCGCGGTGATGGCTCTAGTCTCCGCTTGGCGCTGGGCTCGGGCAGTGACCGAGGCGGAACTCCCAGGTGGCGTGGCTGAATAGGTTACGGGACTACCAGATTCCGTTTAATTTCACACAAATTTGTGGCACGTGTGTTCCATGGAATATTTAGAACATACGCACCCTAAAAAATGATTCGTTCTTTATCTGAAGTTTAAACATAACCTGACATCTTGTATTTTATTTGCTAAATCTGGCAACCCTGAAACCCAGCTGTCCACAGCCAGTAAGCAGGTACACGAGCTGCCTATCACCCAGCAGAAAGGGTGCACTCAAAAGAGGCCAGACAGATGCTGAAGACCCTGGAGGCCTCTGGAGCCCACTTCTGTCATGTTGACCCTCCCTCACCACAAATTCATGGCCCCTCAGAAGTCCTTTAGCCTGCCGACCAAGGAGGCAGCAGCCACATTTACAGATAGCTCTTTGTAGAATGTCAGCAATATCCCAAGTGCAAGGCTGAGCCATATAGCCCCCTTTATAGCACCACCCTCCCAGGATACAAACGTCAAGCAGCTGTCTTCATGTCCAAGGTGAAGGTCAGTGCAGAGCTCCAGTAGTGCCTGGCCATCTAGTCAGACACAAGGGACTAGGAAGGAGAACATGGCAGACAAGAGTCAGGCAGGATTCAGTTGGAAAACATCTTGGGCTGCGCCCAGCTGGCAGGCCCATGTGAGCATCACCAGAGGCCCAACTGCCAGTTAAGTTCTTACTAGTCAGGGCACATGACCCAGCTAGCCAGCCCGGAGCTTGCTCAGGGCTTGCAGGGGTCAGGCAGGACGATCATGCCCAGGACCCCGTGCCCATGGCTAACTCGGGTCCCCAGTGCAGATGTCAGGAGTGAGAACAGACCTTGAATTCCAGCTGTGG